AACAACAATCCGGGTCCTCATTTTACCCACCTCGGAAGGATGGAAGGCTGAGTCAACCCTGAGCCGGTGAGATTTGAACAGCCGAACTGTAGAACAGCAGTCAGCTGAAGTAGCCTGCAGTGCTGCATTTAACCACTGTGTCACCTCGGCTCTGAAGATTTTGTTGATATCTAAGGCAAGAATCCTTTGGAATATGACGTCTTCTCTGGAGACCTAGTGTAGAATTTTGTCCTGAGATGCCAGGTTTTAAATTCTTGTTTATGTACAAATATGCATCTTTTGAAATAATTTTAAAATGAGTAAGATGCCAAGATTCTTCAATGATGTATCTAGAAGAGAAAAACCAAATCCAGGTAAGCCTATATATTATCTATAAGATTATCAGTCAAACACAAAAAAGTGCAAAGTTTTAATATATTAATCCTGGGATTCCTCATTATAGGATTACATTAAAAAATCATCATAGTCTGTGTTTTGTGAGATTCACACCTGTTTCTCTAATGCAGTGTTCCCCAACTTTGTGTGTGTATGCAGCTTGGCTCGCGTGAGTGCAGGGTTGCCATGCATGCACATCCAGATGCAATTCAACTGCAAGTGGAGCTGCACATTCATGTGTTATATGCCCCAGCCCGCCATTCACACAAGTTGAGCTGAGTGCGTTTGTGCACCAGCCTACGGCTTGGTTGCAAATAGGCTGTGGCCTGGTAGTAGACCACGGCCCGGTGGTTGGGAACCCCTGCTCTACTGGAATGATTAATCCAGAGTCACTGTGACAACTGCATGGATTTTGAATATGAAGACAAATGTAAACATTTATTTCTTTTTTATCTAAGGTGGTACTTTTCAGTTTTTAATTATCTCAGTAAAAATCTGATTAAGCATTATTTGGGATATGCATCTAATAAAAAGAATATTTAACTGGCCTAGTTATGCATACAACAAAGACAAAAATTACTTGAAAGAAAAAAAATGCAAATATCTGCAAGTACTCTAATATATTGTTTTATTTTTGGAATTAATATTAATGCATCTTTTGTTTCTCTTAAATTCTTTCTCAAGAATACTTTTGTCTTACAACTCTTCCAAAATAAAAGGGTGGGACATTTTTTACCCTACACTTTTAATCACTAGGGATAGAATGTAATTGAAAATAGAAGACAAAATTCTCCTCTGAAAGACTTACAAAAGAAGAACATTGCTAAAAATCTTAGAGCAAGAGGAAATGACCTTGTTATTTTACAGTTATTTTATAAAGGTTGGCACAATCAATCAATGGTTATTAAAAGAAATAAATTAGACAAAATCTGAACTGGTCATTATGGAATAATCTGAATTGGATTTAGGTTGCAGTAAAAAAAACTAGTTCCTCTGTGCCACTTTTCTTTTATGCAATAGACAGGCATCAGGTTACATCTTCAATCATTTATGTATCACCCAACCATATTTTTGCTTCAAATATTACATATTGAGCTACTGTCATAATGTACCACACTATTAGTCAGTACATATGGCTGATGTTTTTTCATCAAGTTGCATGATGCTGAGAGTTTGTGGCTTTTATGTATTTCCAGCCAAGCCCATCTACCTCAAGTCTGAGTTCTACTCACTCAGCTTCTCCTAATGTGACCAGCTCTGCTCCATCCAGTACCAGAGGTTAGTGTTTTATTACACAAAGATCCTTATGGAATCTTTATGGATCAAAACTATAGTATTAGGTCTAAATCACATTACATGGAAATTCCACATGGGATATAGGCTTCTGTAAATTCTTTATTCAATATGTGTCCCCCACCCAAATAATCCACCATATTGCGGATTGAAGAATTGCATTGATTCTCTAGGTTTCTCTTGTATTCCAGGGTCACCTCTGTTATCAGACAAGCTTAAACATTCCAGAGAAAACTCTTGCCTATCTCCAAGGGAGAGGCCCTGTAGTGCCATTTACCCTAATCCTGCTGAACCTTCACAGGTAGGCATTACTCAGGGTGCAGTAAAAGAGCTACATTCCTGAAAATGAACTGTTGTGGTAGACAAATGTTTTAGGTCATCTGATTGATTCTTATTATTTTAAAGTTCTATAATCTCAATTTATGAGGGGCTGGTCTGATTAGTGCTTGGATGGGAGACTTCTGGGCCTATACCAGGTTACAGTGGGAACTTAAAACAAAAACAAATCATTCCAGAAGAATGAAATGGCAAACCATTTCCATACTTTTGCCAAAACCCTACATCATATATCCATTCAAAATATTTTTGAATTTACAGGTAGAGTAAGTGATAATTTCAGGAAACTCAGTTTAGATGCCCTGATTGTTGATTGCTATTCAGATCCAGAAAACATGAAACACTCCAGGTGGTCTACTTCTGGCTTACCTGCACCAACTCTTTGAGTCATATCTTTAAGAATGTCAGATAAAAATGTTGTTCCTTTTGTTAATAAAATCACCTTTTATTTTAAAGTAGGCAATGTCTGCATGAAGTAAATGCATGAATGGACATTTTTAATTTATATATCTCATCTCTAAGTAAAGACAATGTTTTTATTTAATACATGTTTAAGACCTGTGCAGTTCTTTCCATTTTATCACATAATTAGCAATGTATTTGTGATGCTGAGACTTGGATCAGATATGATCCATTTCCTCTTGATTGCTGGACTCCTAGGTCAGTTTACATAAAACTCTGCTCTTTCAGAGGATCTTAATTTAGAAAAAGTATGTACTGTCCTTGTATCTACTTAAATATCGGCAATTCATTTTTTAAGACAGAAAATACCAGTTTGTAGTTGGCTTTGTGGCTTTATTACATCATTACTTACATACAGTCTTAACATGTCACAGTAATTGATTTTACTCAGTAACAGTTATTATGTCTTGGCAAATACTAATTCCAAATTCTTCCTGAATTTTTCTACCATCCTCAGCTAGAACAGGAAACAGCACAGAAAAATCTCTATATGGTGGCTTTTTAAGACATGCCACACAAAGTCTGTGCCACTTTTGTTCCTAGCCTACAAATTCTTTGCCAAGTGGAATGAAGGTTTCATTCTGCAATGCATCAGCGATTCACCAAGAGAGTCTGAAGAGCAGGTAGGCCCAGAAGCTGCTCTTCCACAGGCTCATTCAGCAGAAAAAAAATCCTCAATGTGTCAACATCCTCAGTAGCCCCCGCAGGATAAATATTAAAAAATATTTTTCTCATACAAGCATTATGAATGAAGCCTTGAATGGTTCATTTTTCCCTTACTATCTTAAAGTAAATCTAAGAGATGAGGATGATTTAGATGAAGTCCCTTTCTTGAAAAACAGCAATTGAATGGGGTCTTTTGGGTATGGACACAATTGAAATTGCATATATCTTTGTTAGGGATGGCATAGATGTTGGTTGGAAATATAGTTTTCTGAGAGTTCTGGTACTAGATCAATGTGGTTACGTCACTGTGGGGAGAAAATAGATAAGTCATTGCTAAAATGGTAAGCAAGACTTGGCCACAGATCCATCCTGTCAGCATTTTTTGTGTTTGAATCAGGAATAATATATCCATCAAACTCATTTTTTTCCATACTTACCGTTTATTGTACTTTTCATGTCACAAAACAAGGATCAAATCACATCACAGCTTTTCTTTAGGGTAAATATGTAAGAATGGGCTAGTGTGGCATAGGTTAGTTGCCCAGATGCCATATATTATATTGTATGATTTAATTAGGCTCTGAATTCATGTGCTGGGATGTTATATTTAGTTTCTATTAAGTATGGTTAATCAGGAAAACTTATTCTTATTATGGTTCATGACACACAGCAAGATATTGAGACTGGATTTGGCATCTGTATGCACCTACTGAGTCCTTCCAAAGGACTTGGGATAAACAGATGTTGTTGGCTGATGGTGTGACCAACAACAACAACAACAATAATCTGGCATATAAGAAACACCAAACGAAGAATAGGAAAAAGACATGGCCAATACATAAAAAAAATTAACAAGCAAAGAGAACAACAAGATCTGGCAATGACTAAGAACAGTAAACTTGAAGAAAGAGAGAAAAAGAGAAATTCTGGATGCAAAAGACAGAAGAAATGCACAGAAAGCCAAAATTGAGAAGACAGCACCAGACAGCAAATGTCATCTCCCCAAACAAGCTGAAAGAACAGTGGACCCTAAGTTAGTACTGTAAAAAGATCACAGACTGACTACAAACAACAGCATGACAAAGTAGCTATAATGGAGTGCTGGAATATTTGCAAGAAATATGTCTTTCTTGCAAGCAGGAACTAGTGGGACCCCAAAACAGGAAAAATAATAGAAAATGAAGAAGCTAAAGGGCTGTGGATCTTTAGGTTTCAAATCAACAAGCATCTGCCACACATCTTAAAATTCAAATAGACAAGTATATCCACATACAACAACTGTTTGGGTTTTGGGTTTTTTTTGCAAATTTTTATAAAGTTTATCAGGATATAAAATACAAAAGAAAATGAAAGTAGGAAAAGATAAGGGGGAAGATGTAGGATAAAGGGGGAAATAGAAAGGAAAGTGTTGATAAGAAAGAGAAAAAAGTCTTGGTAGTGGACATTGCAATACCTCAAGATAGCAGAAGAGAAAGAAGTAGAAAAAAATCACAACATATAAAGACCTGCAAATAGAAGTAAAACAGCTGCAGCAAAAGAAAGCAAAAGTAGTACCAATAACATTAGTTGCTTCCAAAACATCTGAAGCACTACTTGAACAGAATTCGCATTACCAGCAGTCAGTTGCAAAAGCTTCACTTGAAACTGCTTACATCCTGTGACAATACTTTAATATTATTAAACAACAACGTGTACCTATCCCAGGTTCTTGGGAAGGCCTGGATAAGTAGACAAAATGCCAAATGCAGTCTGAATATCTGGTTAACTGTGTGACCAACCATAATTAACATTTTTTTAAATGGTAAGTTGTCTGAATCATCAAGATCTGTCTTAAGCTTATTCTCTATACTGAAACCCTGCATGTCTTCTCCTTGTGGTGAAATTATGCATTTTGGAGTACTTATCACATCTTTTACTTTCTCCTTAGTACAGCATGAGTTCATAAATATATAAATATGTTGCTTTCTCATAAATAGATCCGCAAACAACTAGAAACAAGTAAAGTTATAACTAGCAGCCAGTACAGGTTTGTCAAAACAAATCATGCCAAACCAATCTTATTTCATTCTTTGATAAAGTAACTAAATTAGTAGACCAACAAAATGCTGTGGACATAGCATACTTAGATTTCAGTAAGGCATTTGACAAATTACACCACAACCTACTTCATGGTAAGCTAGAAAAATAGACAACATCACCACCAGATGGATTTGTAGCTGGCTGACAAATCGTACTCAACAAGTGGTCCTTGTGGGTGAGGGAAGTGGAAACCAAAGCAAGGGAATAGAAGGGGAACTCATCAAATTTGCAGATGACATTAAACTGGCAAGAACAGCAAACACCCCAGAAGACAAGTTCCAAAAATATATTGACAAACTTCAACAATGGGCCTTATCCAACAAAATGAATTTTAATGTGGAAAAAAGCTAAAATTTTATGTTTAGGCAGGAAAAATCAAAGGTATAAGCAAAATTAGGTGAGATGTGGCTCAAAAAGAGTAGTTGTGAGAGGGATCTGGGTGTCCTAGTGGATGATCACTTGAATATGAGCCAGCAGTCTGCAGCAGTAGCCAAAAAAGCTAATACAATCATGGGTTGTATAAACAGAGGCATAGAATCAAAATCATGTGAACTATTTGTGCCTCTTTATAAAGCTCTAGTAAGTCCACACCTGGAATACTACAACCAATTTTTGTCACCACATTACAAAAAGGATGTTGAGACTTTGGAAAAAGTTCAGAGAAGAGTAAGTAACATGATTAAAGGCCTGGAGACTAAAAGATATGAAGAATTATTGCAGAATTTGGGCTTGGCTAGTCTAAAGAAAAGAAGAACTAGGGGTGATATGATAGCAATAATCCAGTATTTGAGGGACTTCCATAAAGAAGAAGGGTCTCTAAAATTGTTCTCGAGAGGGCAGGATAAGAAACAATGGTTGGAAAATAATGAAAAAGAGAAGCAACCTGGAATTAAGGAAAAACGTACTGACACTGAGGACAATTAACCAGTGAAACAGATTGCCTTCAGAAATCGTGGGCACCATCACTGGAGGTTTTTAAGAAGAGACTGGTCAGCCTCTTGTCTGAAATGGTATAGGGCAGTGGTGGCTAACCTTTTCTGGACCAAATGCCCAAAGTGTGCGCACATGCGCAAATGCGTGCACCTGAACTCCCAAAGCGCAATGCACATGCGGCCCCGTGCATGTGCCCTGCCCCCTGTGCATACACATGACCCCTGCGTGTGGCCACTGCATGTGCCGTGCCCCCTGCACATGCGCACGCAGCCCCCCTGCACCTGTCCCTCCCCTGTGCACGCCGTCAGAGACCTGAAGACAAGTTGGCAGTGGGAGGCATGGGCACATGCATGGTGAAGTTGAACTAGGATGATGGCTCATTTGCCCACAGAGAGGGCGCTATGTGCCACGTCTGGCACGTTGCCGTAGGTTTGCCATCACGGGTATAGGGTTTCCTGCCAGAGCAGTGGGCTGAACTAGAAGACCTCCAAGATCCCTTCCAGCTCTATTCTATTCTAAATATATTACTTGCTTCAGGTATCTCACAATTTTACATGTTGGTTTGCTTCTATCATTTTATCACTGACTTCAGTTCCTTGGCTGAAAAGCTGTTACATTGTATTCTTGTGAATGTTGCATATGATTTGTCAATTCTTGAGTAACTGCATTCATAGTTAGTGTCCTGGGTGGGTAGTTTAGCATATGCAACCAATTAATGTGTAATAGTCTCTCAGCATTCTTCCTTCTTCTTTCTGCTAAATTTTATTTTTTAACACATCCAAATTTTTTGTTTCCTTAATACACTTGGCTTAAATTGGTAATTTGTTTTTCAGATATGTCTATGAAACAATTTTAAAAGAAGGTAGTAAAATTAATTAACTGCAGTATGAGTCTTGCTGTAAGCTGTCAAAGGAAGCATCAAGTTTTGTTGAGCACTTAGAAAAAATCATTTTACTTTGAGTCATGTAGTGCTGCATGACTTGTAAATCAAGATACATCCACATTCAGTCCTCTTGAAGAAAGGGAAAAGGGTGATTTTTTTTTCAGGAGTGCCATCTTTAAAGTCTCTGTATTCTTGTGGTTAAACTTGAATGAATATCAGTCCCCTTAAAACATTTCATTTCCTATGTCTAATGAGACTCTCTCTCTTGTATTTTTGCTTCTGAAGAGACATTTCTGCTGAAATAGCTAATCTTTTCTTGTTTCTATACCTGTAACTGAAATTCACTATCATAAAAATACACTATTCTGAAATTTTAGAGAATTGGGTTCAATCATAACGGTGATGGTGCTTTGCCTCGAAGTGACCCTAGTTTATCTGCCCCTGAGAAAGGTAAGCCTATCATTTATTTTAATATGCTACCATATATTTTTGTAAAGTACAAAAGAGAGTTATCAAACAAATGTAAATCTGTATTTATTGATATTGTATCTCAAATACCAAACATATGTAACTGATCTCAAATATGCTGGATATATTTCTGTTATTTGGTAATTCTCAAAAGTGTTAACAATTAATATCTGTGTTGTTATGGCTTTAACAGCTGTAACTAGCACTCCTAGCAGTTGGAGCCTGGACAATGGGAAAGAAGCCAAAAACATGTCAGAGAGTGGAAAACTCATGTCTCCTCCTGTGCCACCTCGTCCCACTGGTATGTCTGTACTTTATTAGTCTTCTTTTTTAATACAACTAGTTCTACGCATGTTGTACCTAAAGCTCGATTCTGCCTGGATGTGATTTTGGGTTCCTATTACATACCAGAAGAATACAAGATCATTTTAGAACAGGAACAGTAAATCAGCCAGGAGGATCAAGGGACCATAGAAAGGAAAAAATTATTTTGGAGAAAATGCTGCAAGTGGAACAAACATTGAGGAGGACAACTAATGTTGAATGTTGAAACAACAAAGCAAGAAAAGTTACATTCCTAAATTCTGGAATAAAGAGAAGGCACAACTTTTGGTGTGGAGCTTTATCTGTAATGGTCCTTAGTTCATATTTCTGCATACCATGAGCAACAGAATAGTTTGGTGTAATGGTTAAACTACCAGGTTAGAAATTGGTATACTGAATTCTAGTCTTGCCTTAACCACAAAACCAGCTGGGAGACTTTGGTCCAGTCACTCTATCTTAGCCTTAGGAAGCAGGTAATGTCAAGCCACTTCCAGAAAACTTGTCAACAACCCTGGTGGGACTTGCAATCAAACAGTGAACAGTAAATATAAACAATCACAACAAAATTTAAGAAGTGAATAAATACAATGAATTTAATTATTTCCCAGATTTGTAGTATCTTTCTTTTCTGCCACATTTAAAAATTACAGTTTTGTGATAACCTCTGGAAGAGGCTTTGAAAGGATTTCTGAACCCTAGATTGTGCAATTTTATTTGGAATAGAATAGAATAAAAATCTTTATTGCCACTTTATCACTAATCAGCATACATTAAAATGAAATTTCATAACATTCATCTCTCAAAAGATAACCATTATGCAAATACCCATATAAATACACATATATGACAGAGAAACATCACAGTCTAATTCGAATGTATACATATACAGTTTGTGACACACACAAAAAAGAATACTATGAGTTTATAAGACAACAGAATAGACCATAAAATGGATATGTAGAGTCTCTAACAATGCTTTGAGCACTAAGCACATAGCACTTATAACAGTGGTGAAATTTGACTGGATCAAACTGGATTGGGCGAACTGGTAGGGACGATTTGAATTGGTTCCCTGAACCAGTAGAAATCACCCCTAGTTGGCATTACCCATGCCTGCCCAGTCGCCTGCCCGGTCGCCGCTCACCTCTTCTGGCTGCTCGACCCACCCACCCAATCTGAACGTTTCCCTCTCCACAGTGGAACTGCTGCAGCCTGTCCCTTTAAGGTAGTCCCTGGGAGAGACCGGGCTGAGGGGGACCATAAAGAGAACAGTAGCTCTGCTGTGAATGGAGGGGGAAACATATGGATTCTTTCTGCTGCATTTAATGTTCAATTCTGTGATAGAGAGAATCCGAACTTTTCTCTCTCCATTCACAACGCAGCTGCTGCAGCCTGTCCCTTTAAGGTACTTCAACCCTCGAGAGAGAGGGGGGCCTGGGAGCAGCAGCTCTGTTGTGAATGGAGGGAAAGAAATTCAGATTCTCTCTGCCACAGCATTCACTATGAGCCCTTCTTGTGCTCATACACACATTTTTTCCTACCAGGTTCTGTGGGTGTTGCTTGGCGGGGGGGGGAGGGGGTTCCTGTAACTGAATGGGCATGGGCGTGAGCAACATCGAGTTAGCCATCACCCACCCAGTTATAGGACCACCACCACCAAGCCACACCCACAGAACCGGTAGAGAAAAAAAATGAATGTCACCTCTAGCTTATAAGCAGTATCATGAGTAATGGGAAGCAAGTTTCCTATAATCTTCTCAGTTGTCCTTACCATTCTCTGTATGGACCTTCTATCTGAGGCACTGCTGCCATCAAACCAAACAGTGATACAGTTTGTTAAAATGCTCTCAATCGTGCTTCTGTAAAAAGTGGCCAGAACAGAAAGAGAAAGAAGTGCTTTCCTCATCCAACACAGGAAATGCAAACACTGGTTTGCAGTTTCACTAAAGATAACATGAAGAGACTAAGTAGGATTGTTAATTATATGCACCCCCAGATACTTAATACTATTAACCATCTCCACAGCTACAGCCTTGATACAAAGTGGAGTATGACTATGCTGGCTCTTTCTAAAACCAACAGTGATCTCCTTTGTTAACATTCAAAACCAGGTTATTTTTATTGCATCACTCCAGGAGAGCTTTCACCTCTTCCCTATAATAATCTTCATTGCATCCCAGATAAGCCCTGCCACTGCTGTGTCATCCGCATAGTTGATCTGCCATTCCTAATAAATACTGTGTTTGCTATACTTTTGGCTTTGCCTACCATGGAGAGTAAAATGAGGGAGAGATTGAGAAGAGTGCTTTGAGATGTTATTATTTTGGCAAAGCCACTACCATTTAATTTTTAATAGGCCTGATGGTCCAAGCTTCTTTAGAGAAATGAGAAGACCTTATAATAATTGATTTTACAATGACCCTTTTAATTATAGTTCTGTTACCAGCTTCTCATCTGCAGGAAAGACATTTCCAAATGTATGTATTTTGGGTTTTATGAGAAGATGGAAATATAACCTCTGATTACTATTTTTCAACCTTCTAAAATATTGCAGTACTGAAGTAATTTCCACTGGTAAATTTTTTTAACTGTGTGTTAATTCAAACCAGTCTGACCCTCATCTGATAATTCATTTTATTACCTCATACTATTTCTTACTTGAGATTTATATGAGAGAGAAGTGAATGGACCAAACTTATGTGGTTAACCAAGATCTCCCAATAGAGATATTCCTTCTACTGGATACTCTCAGTTCATGTTCATCTTCTTATAAAATTTCTATTGTTATAAAGTATTTTCAGTACTTATTTTGTCCAGAAGATTTTCTTTGAGCCAACTGTTGGTGGTTTAATAGGAAGTTCTATGTTTTTTATCTAAGGTCCATATGTCTGGCTCTGTTTTTAATCCTGTTGCAATTTTACAATCTGCATCTTTATCAACATATTATAGATACGTATTTCATAAATCTCTCTCAGTGTAAAATGCATGTGCATTTTTTCCTTCCTCTCTCCTCTCACACACATTTTTCTTCATTTTGGCTAAGCTGTTCATTTCTATCAAGCCATCACACTCCTCACTTACTCCATGTTAAATTCATGTGAAAATGATTTTCTCCACAGCATCACCAGTTCGACACCTAACCTCAGTTTCCCCTTCTACTGGAAGATCTCCAATGAAGGTACTGTTCTGTTTTCAATACATTTAGAAGCAGAACTGCATTGTTTATTTCTCATAATTTACATTAATTGTGACTGACTTTTCACCTTGAAAACATAAATGTGTATTTTATGCCTTTCCAATTTGTGTTGTGTGATGGGAATAAAAAACTAAGCTTTTTAGTCATTTCTGTTCTGATAAATGAACAAATCGTGTAAAGTTCCATAAAGGACAATATGCTGAATACATTCAGGAGACAGTGGTCACAAATTGGAATGAATATAAAGAGATTAATTTCTTCATTTTAATTTCTCTCACTATATCCTATAACATAAAAGCATATCCATGCAATTCCAGGAGCATTCACAATAGACGATTGCTGTTCAAGATATATTAAATTCTCCTTGTTGAGCAACAGGGACTCTTTCAAATTATTTGGGTTATGATTCCTCCCAACATTCATAGGTTGTTGAATTTTGTCTCCCTCCCTCCCTCCCTCCCTCTTTCTCCCTCTCCCTCCCTCTTTTGAAGGCACCACCAATATTGCATAGTTCACTTGTCTACTATATTGGCTTTATGTGATCTGATACACTAAATAAAAACAAATATAGATTGGGTGATTGTAATTTAAAAGTAGATACAACCACAGTAATTCAAGGTTTTACAGTATTAATGAATAAGCACCATTCAATTTTTGATGTTCAAACCACAAAACTCTTAGGTTATAACAATAAGTATTTTTACAACATGGACAATAACAGGGACCCAGAACTAATATAAAGGCATGTTCCTCTACTTCCTTTTCTCTCCTAATTTCTTCTTTCTATTTCCAGACTAATTTTTTCTTTTCTAAACTCAGGCTTCTGTGCAATCATTTTCATCATCTCCTATGGACTACCATTCGTCCGGGCTCATTTCCAACTCTCCAGTCTTGTCTGGAAGTTACAGCAGTGGCATTTCTTCACTTAGTCGATGTAGCACATCTGAAACATCTGGTTTTGAAACTCACATCAATGAACATCCAGTTCCTCTTTCTAATTGCAACATTTCCGAAGAGCCAATAAGAAAAGAGAGCAAGACTCCTCCACCTTATAGTGTTTATGAGCGGACTCTGAGGCGTCCTGTCCCACTACCTCACAGCCTTTCCATTCCCATTTCTACAGATCCACCAGCATTACCCCCAAAACCTCTGTTGGTCAGACCAAGCAATTTGGAGCACCGCAGCAAGAGAACAGAACAGGTGCCTCGACCCAGGCCTCTTCCACGAAAAGTATCTCAGTTATAAATAAAAGTCAAAAAGTCATTTTTTGGATTACTTAAATGAAAAACATAACTAATATAGGCACTTTAATATTCTTCACATATCTTCCTGTTTATTTTAAAAAACTGCTCAACTTTAAGTACTTAACTAAGTACTAGCTTAAAAAGCCAGAAACTAGAGGCAATGAGACTGAAAATTCTATATTTAGCATAGCAAACAGCAAATGAGATTCTGCATATAAATTTGAACCTGGAACCTAGCTGATCAAACAACATCAAGGCATACTTTCCCTTGAAAGCCTTATATTAGTGCAACAGTGTACTTTCTGACAATAAAATTTGATTTGAAGCTAATGAATCCAATAAAGCTCTTGTGGTTTGTAATCATATTGCACTGGAAAAGGTTCTATTACAAAGATGTTGTAGCTGAATTTCTAGGGGGGAAAAGTTTGGGTTGGTTTCTTTCTACTGACATGTTATTGTGTTTTATTCAATATTTGTATGTATGTTGTTGGAACTTGTTTCTTACATATCTTTTTTCTAGCATTCTGATAGTGGTTAGTTATTTTACATGCGTGTAGAATTTGCCCCCTTCCATTTTATTTTATTTTAGATAGGTGCAATTTACAGTTCCATGAAGATAATAAATGTTAATAATTATTGTATTATAGAAAATGTAGCCAATATGTACAGTTATTTTTTTTAAGATCATTGATGTAAGACACAGAAACTAACTTCTCAGATTATTTTAATGGCCAAAATGAATAAGTCATTTTAAATGTGAATCAAGAAAAAAAAAACCACTGTCAGAATCTTAAGATGAAAACACTGAAAGCAATTGAGTTCAAGCAAATGTTCAGGAGAATGAGGCTATTTACAAGTAGAATTAATTGAAGTAGCAGATTTTTAAAGACAAGATTCAGCCTTGTTATTATTATATATAAATCTTCTGAATGAAAGTTCTTCCATTCTGTTGCTCTATATTCCACTGCAAAAAAGTAGAGAAAATAATTTAAGGGATAATGGTTTAGATGGTGGAAAGAGAGGGGATTTTAGGGCACAGATTGAAAACTTGTTGGCAACTAAAAGTAATCCAGATTTTAACCCCTATCCTGCAAAATGTTTTCTCTGAAAGTGCTCTTACTCATCCCACATGGAGCCGTAACTGGCATTTTGCTAGAAAGCTCCTGTGTTTTTGAAAGCTCACATTTAGTTCTGCAACTGTACAGACTAAACATAAAAACAAATGTACAGGCAATTTTTCCATTTCTTATCCCCCACACAAAACATACTGTTTGTAGTATTTGATTGATATCATGTGGTCTGTACTTTTCAATTGTACCATTAAAGTTACCTCCCTGTTTTGTTGGGAAATTTGGATTGATTTTATCAGTTTATTTTGTTGATAATTTAACTGAAATATTATTGACCACTTTTTATATTCCCTCAATGAGAAACTCCCAGTAGGTATATGCTATTAATGGTAGCTATAGAAATTTTATATAATAAATGTTCAAGTATTTTTGTACATAACTGATTAATTTTAATAAGAAGTACAATAATGTTTGGGGAAGGAAAACAAATGGTTGTGTATGCAGTAAGATTGTTATAATTATGCCAAATACTTTGTGTAATTGGGGGAACAGGAATACAGGGAATAATATTTGTAGATATGTGTTTTTAACAATAATTCTGCCATATTGATTCTACAACTTTGAATGTCAAAATATATTAATATATGTTGAAATACCTTTGTTTATCAAAAGTGTTTACAACTCGAAAAAGGACATAAAATGTAGGTTTGTAGGTTGCTAATTTTGAGGCCTGAGATTTCTGAATTTGCTTGGTCATAATATTTTTTGTGTCTGCATAACTACATTTTTGGAGTCATTAGCTACATATTTATGCTTATAAAATATATTGTAATTTAAATAAACTATCACAAACTGGATAATAGATCCATTTTGATCCCTTCCTATATTGTATTTAGAATTAAATCTGTGTTTGCCTGGTGTTTCAGCTTAGACTGAATCAGTATTATTTGCTGCTTGTTCATTTTAAAAATATACTTGAGAGTAAGCAAAGTTTTTACTCATGTGCACGTTATTACTGATGCCTGCTTAGCAGCAAAACATTTTAATGTAGTTTATTTACAGATAATTATATTGATTGTTGAGAAACCATAAATACAAAATAAAATTCATTGAAATTCATTGTCCAGTTTTATTTTCTGCTGAGTGGTGCATTAAAATACATTTGTGAGGAAATTAAAATAGACACTTATTTTTGATTAGGCTTCATATATGATTTTAAGAAGCAAAGATAAAACTTAATATCTTTTGTTTTATTCTCTCTCTCCATCACAGTACAATTCCATAATTTATTTTATTTATTAACATTTTCATGATATACTAGTCAAATGACTCTTGGTGATAAACTCTATCCAAGAGTGCAATAAATAACAAGAAGAAAACCACATAAAATCAGTAGGCTGTTACTATTGTCACTAAGTGAAATAATTGAAAATCTATATGTATATAGCATTTGAGGCTCAGGAACAGTGGTGGATTTCAATTTTTTTACTACTTATTCTCTGGGTGTGGCCTATTTTGTGGGCTAGGTGGTCATGTGACTGAGTGGCTGTGGCCAACTTGTAAAATGTGGTGAAACTCATTTAACAACACTCTTGCTTAGCAACCAAATTTTTCTTCCTTTCCTTCCTTCTTTCTTTCCTTCTTTTTCTTTCCCTTTCCCTTTCTATCCTTGTCTTTCTCTTTCCTCCCTCTCTCCCTCCCTCCCTTCCTCTTTCTTTCTCTCTTACTCTTTCTCTTTCTTTCTCTCTCCCCCCCCCCACACCTCAACCTTTAACAACCCCCCACCCCCGCTAACCTAAAACTTTATTTTTAAAGGATTTTGCACCCGGGGAAAGTCATAACAAGACACACCAGCCACACATCACCTCCACTGACTTTGAAGTCTTTCTCTCATGCTGCCAAAACCCATCAACTCTCTTCACCTGCGGTCACCCCTTCAACCTCCCACCCCTGGAGGATACGCAGTGGTCCTCCTGGAGGGGTAGCCAAGGGGCACTTTCCCCCACCCCCTGAATAGTGTAGGCTGAGGAAAGGGAAAGGGGAGCTGCTATTTTTTTCTGCAGGCCAGAAGGAGGCAAGGTGGCCTCAGATGCCATCCAGGGACCCTCAGAGGTGTTGCTTGTTGGCCCGAAACAAAGTGAGGAAGGAGTCTCTGGTGGCTGCAGTAGCAGCAGAAGCGGTGACAGCAACTGAAGCACAATTCAGACAGTTCCCGCTCTCCCTTCCTCGAGCATGTCCCATTGCTGCTGGTGCCGCTTTTGGTGAATTCAGCTCAGTGGCGGGGCTCTTGCCAGACACTCCTTCCTCGCTGCTGTTTCGGGCCAAGAAGCGACACCTCTGAGGGGCTCTCCCCGGATGGCACCTGAGACTGCCTCGCATCCTTCTGCCCCGCGTGGAAAAAGAGCAGCTCCACTCTCACTCTCTTCCTGCTGACACTGCTCAGCCTGAAATATGAGGATCGTGGAGGAAAGCATTTTCAGGCTGAGAAGCAGCAGACCTCGTGAGCTGTGGGAAGCGACTGCCAGCAATGCTCTCAGGGTGAAGACATTGCAAGTGGAGAAACCTTGGCCCCCTTAGGAGCCTCCAAGCGTTCGTCGCCCCTCTGACACCTGCCAAGCCTCCTCCCACCACAGACACGCCTTCTCTTTTCTCCTGGTGAGATCTGCCACCTGAAAAGTGATGATCATGGAGGAAAGCATTTTCAGGTGGAGGATCCCCTCCCTGATTCCAAAAAGAGTGTGTGCGGAAGGTGCTGCCACCTAAAAGCTCTTTCCTCCATGATTCTTGCATCTGTGGTGGGAGGAGGTTTGGCGGGTGTAAGAGGGGGTGGCAAGCTCTTGGCTGCTCCTGAGCGGGCCAAGGCTTCTCCACTCACAATGTCTTTGCCCTGAGAGCACCGCTGGCAGCCACTTCCCAGAGTTTAGGAGGTCTGCACTTTCTACGCTGCTGCTTCTCGGCCTGAAAACATTTTCCTCCACGATCCTCATATTTCAGGCCGAGCAGCGTCAGGAGCTGCTCTTTTTTTTTTCATGGGGCAGAAGGGGGCGAGGCAACCTCATGTGCCATCCGGGGAGACCCCCTCAGAAGCGTCATTTCTTGGCCCAAAACAGCAGCTTTGTTCTCTTTGACAGCCGCCTTGTTTGGAGTGGGGTGGGGAGAAATCTGAGTTTCTGCTAGGGATGGCCTTCTCCCCCCTCTAATGCATGGATTTCTCCCCACTCCATTGCAAACGAGGTGGTTGTCAAAGAGAACAAAGCATGGGGGTGCTTCTTCCAACAGCCAAGTCCTCTGCTCGGGCAAAAGAAGTGGGTGGGCGGGGCAAGCACGGTGCGGACAGGCGGGACAAGAGAGGAAGCAAGCGGCAACTGGGTGGGTGGGAAGAGTGAGCAGGGGTAGGCCAGGGGAGGGACCGTACTTGTACAGGGGCCTCCGGCTCTACTAGTACGCAAACGTACGCCCGATTTCCTGTACCAGTGCAGACTGGTAGCAACCCACCACTGATCAGGAGCATCATGTGTATCGTCGGGGTACAATGGAGAAGGCCTGCTTCCTCAAATGCACTTTATGTCAGACTGGAATCTTAAGCAGGGGCTCTGAATAATCCAGCTGCACAGGCTGTATCATTTGGTATGATTGGTTACCATGGTATTTAGGAATTTATACATATGACTGGCACTTTGAATTGAGATCAGAAATCTATTGGTCAGTATAATACCTGTAAAAATCTCATAAAAATCCTCTTGCTGACATCCTGTGAAAGAGGAGCATCACCTGCGTAATTCAATTTGCATGAGAATATTTCAAATACAGAAAAAAACATTTGGTTATATAGAACATTGAAATGACAATAATCCTGAGAAGAAGAAAGCTGTGTTACACTTCTGTGTCACTGCACATGAGGGAACATACAGTATGTGTCATTCAGAAATGGTTGCAAAGTTGTTGCACCTATACTTCTGCAAACGTTAATGTTTAGTGGACACTCAAACAATAAAGCATGAAGTTGGACCAACTAATTGGCATGCAGGACACATATCTCCACACAATACATAGTTGAGATTTGGGAGGTATGCGTGTCGACCCATCTGCAACCATCTACACTTGCCCATCAGCCCCTTCGCAGTGTAGGTATGTGTTAATGCCTATGTACACTTACAGTAAGGTGACCAGATTTTCAGATTGGTAAAGAGGGACACCATTGACCCGGGGGGGGGGGGGGGCTTGATTAAAAATTTTATATTTTGTCAAAATGTCACAAAAGGTGATTACATGACCCCAGGACACTGAAA